TGGACCACGTCAACCGATTTCGATAATAATTTTTGCAACGGAAAGGTAGTGTCTCAGAGGTGGTCCCATACTAATTTGGTTTAAACCGATCATTGAATCCTGAAATATATAGATATATATTTTTTTTTAAGTCGGTTTTTTTTTGCTAAAAATTACTTGTTTTATATAACAAGTGCAATTTACAAAAACTGGCGTTGAGTTTTTGAAAGTTTGTTGCTAACGGTCTCCCGTATTTTATTTCATAAGAAATGCATGCTTATATGGAAAATAGTGCAAACATCTGTCTCCGAAAAAAAAAATTCAAAAATCAACGCGATTTTGTAGCCGGTTGAAACTTGCACTTCATTGGACTAAAATTGTATGGGCAGCAAAACTGCTTAGTCAAAACTTTTCTAGAAATTCTGAATACAAATTTGAAAATTTGGATGACATGTTTTTAAATTTTTGTGAACTTTATATAAAGTGTGAAACTTTGATTTATGTGGTTTATAGAATGAATTATATTTTCTTAAATTAATAACGCAAAAAAGGTGTACACTTTCATTTGATGCCTAGTTTACATTAACTTAGTTGTTTTTGATTCTTGAGACTTAAAACTTGGTTTGTATACGTACTATGGAGTACTGAGTTGACCAACAAACTTTTTTTCTTTGAATTTAATGTTATGCTAGTTTTCTTCCTCATCTTTGAGTAGCTGCAACATCGAAAAAATCATATTGTAAATGAATTACTAACATGGAAAACGCGTATTTAAATTTTATTTCATTTTTATTTGTATAAAAATTTAGTAACACAAATATCAATTAAGGAATGAATGTAATATATTTATTTATTTTCTTAACGTTTTTTATAACAAAAACATAAAAAGAGATTGAGTTTTAGTAAAAACTTTTTAAAATCTTTTGTTAAGCTTTTTCGATAGGGTCTTTCATAAGAACCGGAACCAGTCCAAATTCCCGGTTCTCCTTGGAACCAGATTCAACAGAACCGGTTCTTTAAATACTCGGAACCACACTTACTTATGAATACGTCGGAAAAGGCGGTTTCTAAGTTCAAAGTCTTTGCCTTTCTTGATGTAGAATTCAAAATATGAACTTTTGATAGAATGTTGGTACATTTTGTGGGGCCGTTTTGATAGAAAAAACATTTTTGATGCAGCAACTTTGATATTTAATAACTTCTAGGCTCAAAATTAAATCTTTTATGCGCCGTAAAAAATCTGATCAGCTAAATACTTCTTTCTATCTAAAGTGACAAAAAATATTTGCATACATCTTTTTAATTGCCTTACCAATTCTTGCCCGGCGTAAGTGCTTGCAGACGATTTCCTGTGCGAAAAATAGTATGTATGTATATATATTTGAATTTTTTCAAAGACAACAATGTCTATTGCACGAAATTCCCACGCGCATAGCATTGACGAAATATTTATGAATGTTCTTGCTACTTTTTATATTTTGCATGATTTTCTCCAACATTTGGCTGCGTTTTTATTTTTTTTAATTTCTTTCACTTTTTCGACCAAAAATATTCACAACACATATGGCACGGCCATAAACTATGCACATACATATGAAAAGGCAAGCACGCTCATGCCAGACTTTTAAAGAAAATTTTTCATAACTTCTGCATGCATACATTTGTATGGATGTATGTATGTATGTATGTAGGTATGTACATATGTATGCCTTTACATTTCGTTTCGAATGCGGCTGTTAAGAGGTGTTTGCGACTATTTTTCATTTGCTAAATGTTGTTGTTTTTGTTTACCTCTTTATTTATTTATTATTTTTTTAACGCACACNTCATACAAAAATGTGGTGGTAGTGTGTTTGACATTTTTTTTGCTTGTTTTTTTTTCTATTTTTTGTTTGGTTTGTGTATATTTATATATGTATGTATGTATTTAGATATGCTTTGGTTTTCAAGTGGTGGCGATAGGCAGTGTACAACCGGCCTTGCCGGTGATACGGAAAATACTAGTGTGGAATGTTTTTAAGTCAACTAAAGCAAAGGTTCTCCAGGAATATTATAAGATTAATAATAATGTATCTAAGCATCGTTTATTTGCATTTATTTATCCTAACTTAGATTATATTTAATTTTACTTTATTTTTTATTTCATTTTATTTAAGTTTAATATCAACATCAATAACCAATAAAAAAAAAATCAAACACATGAAAATAAAGTGTACCCATTGAGCAAATTATTTAAGCAGAACAAAAAATTTCACATTTGAATAAATCCAAATTCTTCGCTTCGCATTGCACGAGAAATTATTTATTTATCTTTAACAAATTGTCAACTCATGAAATAGCAACAACACTGACACTTTATAAAGATGCTTATTGCACAATACATAATAGCCACATATGCAAATTTTTCGATTACATATATTTATATGTGCTTGTACATACATATATTTATATATATGTATGCATAGTTATACTACTATACATTAACGTGACGCATTCACGTTTATATTTGTTTCCGCGTCCGCCTGACTCTTTGATGCACACTCTCGATGTCCATCGGCATTCCCCCATACATACATATCTACATCTAAGTGTAGAAATTTTCTATACTCCACGCTTATTAAGCACTTTGCCACTTGCGAGAACACGTCCGCGCGACTGTAAATACCATGAAAAACTGATGCCAACACCGTCGGTACGCGTGGTTTTGTTTGTAGATACTAGTACTTATTTTGAAAAATCAGCTATGTGAACGAGTCGACGAAGATGTATACATAAATGTTATTCCTGCTGTTTTTTGGAGCCTATCAGATGCTAAGCTTCGTAAAATATTTATGTAAAAGTAACAGAAATCCTTTGACTACCCCAAAGATACTGTTGGGGTTGCCCCATCATATAAGCACGTGCCGTTTAGTTTGGCTGTAAGCTTTACAGTTTCTGTTATTAACAGTCGATAGCATATACTGAAAATGTTACGAATTGCATTATGTTTTTATTTATGATTCTCAATTGGGGGGGGGGGAGGCCAATGGGAGCTAAACATGTGTACGTTTGTAAACAAGTATGTATGTTTGTACATATGTTAGGACATTAGGGCTATTCTTATTTAAATAAAAGCAGTTTGCGATCATTGTCCTTTCTTCGCAGTTTTTTAACTCTAATACCTAAGCATTTTGTAGCGGTATATGTACATACATTAGGGCGGGTCAATTCTTTTTTCTATGCGCATATACATACATAGCATAGGAAGATTCTAGTGGTATTCACCAAAGTGAGCAAGTGGCCTGGCAGTCTAGCACAAGAGCAGATCAGCTCATCTGCTCTAAAAATAGACCAGTACGGGTTTTTGAAAATTAACATTTTATATTAAAAACTTGCCAATTTTATAGAAATACGGTTTTGACATTTTTTCGATGCTATACTCCAAAGTGTTTTGGAAATGAAAAATTAAAAAATGGTCCCAATCGGCATTTTAAACAAAAATCGATCGAAAACGGCTGAATAAATAAAAATTTAAAAGAATCTGTGAGCGAGCCCTCAATTGGTACAACGATATGAAAAGTTATGAAAAAACTCACACACGTATTGCGAGTGTCGACTAGTAGTAGATAAATGAATTATAGTCGATTATCGATTATCCGCGGTATTTTCAAAGTCGTTTTCTCGTTCAATAATTGCGTGTAAATAGTTTATAGTCGCTCATCCTTCTACAAACAAACAGTTGTAAAAGAATGAGCGATAAAAAACTATTCACAGACGCTTATTAAACGAGAAATCGACCTTCACAATACCATGGAAAAGCGATAAGCGAATAAGAGTCGTTTATCCACTACTAGTCGACACTCGCAATAGGGATGTCAGAGATGCAAATGCCAAATGATGGCCAAATTGCGCTGGAATGCCCCATATGTATTATATCAGTGTTTTGGAGCTAGTTCAACTATTATAAAGTAAAACAAAATCAGTTTTGCTCGAAATACCAATTCGATGAATCTTAAACCGATTTCGTGTGCGATTCAAGTACAACAAATCGGTGACTCCAAACAATAACTTTTTTTTAGAATTTTCCATACTTTTAAATATGAAATGCCTAAGTTTATTATTTATAAAATTTCATAAACATTGAAAGCCATTACAATTTAGTCCCTATAAATTTATTTAAAAATATACATACATATCTAGGTACATAAGTATGTTGTTATTTCGTTGTTGTGCCTCTTAATATAATCTTACATGTATGTATGGATTTTAAAGCGTTTTACATAGTTGATGTATGTATATATGTAAATTAGAAAATGAATTTTGGTTAACGTTTAAATATATTTAAAATTTTAAAGTAATACAAAGTTTTGAAAGCAATAATTCACTGTTTTTTTTTTTAGAAATTAAGGCAACTTGCCTGGCAGAATAGCAAAATTGCTGTTAGCAGCAACAAAATACCACGCGGATTAATAAGTACATATTTGAGGGCTGCATGAATTCATTCAAAACGGCTTATGAATTATTCATATACAAAACGAATTAATGATTTTGGCTTCAAATTTTTTTGAATTTTAATGAATACTTTTTTCTATGTACATATGTACAAACATACATAACATATGTATGAATGTATTACTGCGCTCCTACAATAAGAACGAACTTGTTTGTAGAAAAAACCTTTCCACCATTTAAAGGTAGAAAATTTGAAACAAAATGTATATTCATGACTTACAAAATTCCAAACGCTGAGTGTTTTGTATGTGAAGTAGGATATTTAAATCTACTGTACTCTGTTTGGCTAGAAGTTTGAATGAATTCATGCCGCCCTCTAATACATATAGAGGGCTTATATTCAATACACTCTATCTGCACTTTTCACAAAAATTATATTATGATAAAAACGTCCACCTAAGTCTTAACTGTCATCGGTGACCTTGTATAGAGCTTGACAGAAGAATTTACTATTAAATTGCAAAGTCAGAATTAACATCGGTGATGACAGGTAAGTCCCAGATGGGTTCTAACATCACAAAAATAGTTTTTGTGAAAATTGCAGATAGAGGGTATTGAATATAAGCCCTCGATATGTACAAACCTAATTGGGTTTTGGAATACCGACAATACGAATGTATTTTCCAATCGGTAAAACTTAAACTGTTATGTTGCACTACAAATTTCCCAATTAGGTGCCTCTTCCTAATATTTTAACTAAGTAGCACTATCCAATTAACTAAGAAAAATATTTAAAAAATATAGTCAATAAAACTTTTGTGTGTATATCGAAATTATAACAAAATACATATCGTTGCCATCAATGCAAAATGCCCTATTTGAAATTTTACAGTAGAAGCGAAAAAGCTTCTTAAATTATCATAGAAATAAATGGCTTGCAAGGCTGTTCTAAGGGTGCCAAAAAAATCTCGTACTTTTTAAGTTATGGCTATGAATTTTGTTAAGGTGAACTTGAGAGAAAAGTAAGATGATAGTAAAAACGCATTTTTGAAAATGTCTGATATAGGGCCTTTTGCATTGACGGTGACGATATACATATGTATGTATATGTGTGTGCGTTGAAATCAATATCAAAATATATGCGTCCAACTATGAATCACAGGCAATCTTCCAAAGGACTACTGGTGCGCTGTTCCAATTTCTGCAATGTTACATGCGCATTTTGTAGCATGTTGCGCGAAGCCTTGTATATCCATTTCTCGAAAAGTTTTGAATTGAGATAGTACACTTTTCGTATACCCGATTGTATAATTAGTTTCGCGCATTCATTACAGGGCATTAGCGTTGAGTATATCGTTGCGCCATGCAAATCATTTGGTTGTGGACCGATTATGGCGTCTGATTCAGCATGTATGACATAGGTGAGCTTATTCTTTAATTTATCTTTGTCCTTGCCCCACGGATACGGCTGATTCGTGTAGTTCGGTGGAAAATGATTGTAACCAATGCCGACAATGCGGTTTTTGCTATCCACAATACAAGCACCTACTTTTGTTTTAGGGTCCTCACTGTGTGTTGATGCAAGTAATGCTATATCCATCAGAAATTCGTGATTTGTTAGGAGATCGTTATTGCCAACATTTACTATTCGATTCTGGTCAATTGTTACGCTATATTGGTCATGATTGTCAATAAAATTAACGCGCTTCTTAACGAGTTTAACAATTTCATCATGAAATTTTTTATCTGTTAGAAGATTTACAAATTCTTTGTTTTCATATTCTAGCGGTGAAGGTGAACGGGAGCGGAAAGGTGATGGAGATGATGCATCGCTAGAATCGGAGTTGATCCGGCTGTTGCCATTGCTGTTGGGGCTGCTATGACTACTATCGATGGCATTTGATGTGTTGGAGTTCGGTGTGGTAGGTAATTCATGCCCTGTCATCGTGTGCGTGTCGCTAAAATAAAACAAATTCAAATAAAAAGAATATATTTTAATAAATTACAATAAAAATTATTTAAATTGTGCTTGTGGAAATCTGTGTGAATGTAGCTTCAATATTTGCAAAATTTACTTACGCGTATGTTACTGACTACCAGGAAAACAAGATATACATACATACACTAAACTTTATACTGAAAGAAGTTAGCAATAGATTTTCTAATTTACTGTTCATAACTAAGTACATACTCGCAGTAATTTTTGAAAAACGTGGCAACCCTCCTACATGTAGTTAAAAAAGCTTTTCAAATACCATTTCGATTGATACCCATATTGTAGTAATTCATGAAACTTATAAGGACGCTAAAATGAGAAAAAACACCGAGGCACGTAAACTTAATTTTGGGTCGTAGATTACGGATCTGTTATCGTTTTTCTGGATCAGGTGATGAAAAAAATCAAACTTTACAATGGAAAATGTTGCTCATACGCCATGTACGAGTATGTATGAGTACCAGTGTTGCCGTTTTAGCCCTTTGGTGGCTAGATTTAGCTACCACATACTTTTTTTGGCCACATAAATTTTAAATTGCCCCTAGCCCTTTTTTTAGACCTTTTTAGAATTTATTCATACTTGGCATGAAAAAGTTGTATATGCTTAATTTGTGTTTTTTTTGCATTTATGTAAGAGATGAATTTTTAAGCAAAGGAAGACTGATATATATATACATATATGTATTGTATGTTCCTTACGCTTTTATACATACATACTGTAAAAGTGTTGGGGCTGTTAACTTATCTGTTAACGATTTAACTATAGTTTAAAATAGATAAGTTCACGGCCCTTAATATGCTAAATTTGTTAAATGACCCATCAAGTCGATTAGCTCAATTTTCTAAGTAAAAAGTATTTTGGCGGAAATTTCTTGCACTATATGAGTCAAAGCCGTGTTTGTGGAAGATTAAGTTCACGATATTGCAGTTGTGAATTACAAAAAAAAAAAAACAATGTTTAACAAAATGCTAGAAAAATTATGAAATTTCGGCTCTAATTATTTCGATCTTTTCTCGACCTCATTTGTAAAGAAATAAATATTGTACCAGCATGCTGGTAAGTTGTACGCTTCGAGCCTGATGGTACAATCACTTGATGGAACCAGCAAGTTAGTGTCGTATATTTCCCCTTTTATACAAAAAGGTTTTGGGTTCGATAAAAAATTCGCTTTTTTTCCAGAGTTCAGTGTTTTTATATAAGTACCATTACTTATTGAAAATGTTTACGTGTATACTTATACATACATGTATGTATATGTAAGTAAAAATTTTAAATTTTAGCTACAATGTTTAGCTACAAAGACTTTTTTTAGCTCTTTCTTAGCCCTTTTTTTAAAGGAATTTGGCTACCACTAAAAATTATGCGCGGCAACACCGATGAGTACGGTCATGTACGTTATGGCGTATGAGTAACATTATTTCCTGCTCCTATTTCATACAAACAAATTTTGCACATTTTCATTTCACCATTCACAACTTGTTTTTTTATCCATCGATTTTCATCTTTAGCAGCTTGAATTTTTGGTAAACGAACTGGCTTTAATAAAAATGAAAAAATACAAATAGTTTGATATATTTATTTTTTTTTGATTTTTTCCTTCTTCAACTTTTTTTCATATATTTTAAAAAATTTTCTGAACTGGAAAAACAGTATAAAGGACCATAATCTACGGTTTTTTTTGCGTCATTTCAAAACTTCAGATTTTCCCTACAGTGTAATTTGAATTGAACTCAATTTTTAAACAGGTGTTGGCCTTGGGATTTATCAATAAACAACGAGAACGATAGGGCGGCGTAGGGTCTACAAATTTCATGGAGCGCTAAGCAAAGCGTACAAAAGGCCTCTGATCAGACTCCAATCTATTCACATAAATTGTATGAAACGAATAACGCGTCTTCCAACCTCGACCGAACTAAAAGCGCGAGTACAACAGTTTGAGAGGCCACAACATAGCGATCGATTTAGAAACAATTAAGTTTATGTGAGTGGTGGAATTGAGCTTGGAATCAAAATAAACACGCAAGACCTATGTACAGTACTCAACCCTTTTGTAATGACATTTACAAATATTGAGGAACAAACGATTACTCACACATCAACTATACAAATTTGTCTAGGCTTTTAATTTCATAATACATCTTCAGGTTATCTGCGTATGGAAGGAAGCTAACACATAGAAAAACAGGAGGAAATATCATTAACAAAGAGGATAAATAATAACAGGCCTAAGACACTACCCTGGGGAACGCCAGTAGCTCGTTTCTGTAACCCTTCTCTACCGATTAGTAGAGAATAAACGTCATTCAGCGAATTCATATCTCAATTCGCCTTGGTAGAGAATCGTTACAGGAACGAGCTACAGAGGAGGAAACAAAAGAATAAGACTATACATTATCAAGACGAAGGACACAGCGTCTATTATCCAGATAGGATGTAATCGACTTCAGAAACTCAAAATGTAAGCCTAGACCTTAAGTTTAGCTATAAATATTCGATTAAACACGCTGTCAAAAGCCTTCAAAAAATCGGTGTATATTGGGTCAATTTGGAATCCCTTTTAAAAGGTTACCAAACAGTCCAACTTGGTTAACGTAGATCTACCCGGTACGAACCCATGTTGGTTAGAGCATAATAAATGTTTAACAGTCAACCCTGCCAGATGTGCGGATTTTTTCGTACGGTACGGATTTGTAGGGGTAAAAATGGTTGTACGGATTCAACGAAAACTACCGCTAAGACGTACGGTTTTTTGTAGTGTTTTTTTTCATATTGTAAAAATTTGCCTGTTTTACACATATCGCATAGGTTTCTTATAGTTCCTGAAACTCCATTTTTTTTTTATTAAAAAATGCGTTATTTTCGTACTTGAGGGACTTATCTATTAACAGCTTGACTATTTTTCACCCGATTTTAAAAATCAAACATGAAAAAAGGATTTATAGGCCATTAAAATTATTTATAACACTCTATTGGTAGACTGCGATTGTTGGGAGTTTGTGCCACATACTAGAAATTATAAAAATCCAAATTTTCTTTATTTTTTTTAACTTTAATCATCCCTTTAAATATCATACTGTTACTCGGTAGGGTCGACAACTTACCTGAAAAGTTACATGTACATACATAAACTAAAAACACACTGCTTGTTAAAAAGTTCTAGTCAGAAAAATAATAAGGTTGTATGTAAAGCAATCAACAAATAGGACTAGTGGAAATATGTGTTGATTTATTTGATGTTATTAAAAGTAGGATACCTGTGTTCACCGAAGTACAAACGATTTTTTTTTTGCTCGTCAAACAAATGGTAGCGTAAGAATTTTTCACCCACCACTTTTTGTCTGTGTACGGATTTTAAATTCTAAACGTCTGGTAGCCATGTTAAGAGTAAAGTATATTTTGTCTTTACCTATGGAGTCAAACAGTTTTGAGACAGTGGTAAACTTAGAAAGCGGTCTATAAGTCTCAATACAATTTGCATTGCCACTTTTAATAATGACCTTAATAAAAGTAAATTTCCAATCACCGAGAACAACTCCGGCAAGTTAGTTTATACACTCCTTGTTTATCCAATGGGTATTCTTGATCTGTGGTGTTCCGTAGTATCCGTCCTACGTTGTTATTTGTTCTGAATGATGTGCGAAGGTTGTGTTTCTGGAACAGCTTTGCTAGTTTGTACGTTGACTTTCTAGTATAGGTTAGTACCGCCCAACTTGTGTCATTGTTTTTTTCATTGTTTGGCTTTCTGTTTTTGTGCTCCCTTCGGATTTCCTCTACAGACCTCTCTTGTATCCGCTATTAGCCGCTATGGCATATATTGCGTTCAGTTCGTTTTTGTATCATTCTTTTGTTAGTGGTATTTGCTCAATTCTATTGATCATTTGTCTAAAGGCGGCTTTTTTATGCTGATGAGGGTGGTTCGAAGTATTATGTATTATTGTATCTGTGGCTGTGGGTTTCCTTAAAAATTTCATATTGCTGACTACTGGTGTTTTTATTTATTTTGATCGTCGGATCTAAGTAATTTAGCTTTCCTTCCATTTCTTGTTCCATTGTGAACTTTATGTTGCTGTGCTGTTTGTTGAGGTATCCCAATATCTGTTCTTCATTTTTCTTTGTTATAAGACATAAGATGCCATCAACGTATCTGGCATAGAACGTCGCTCCTAGTTGTGACGTAAAATACTCCATGTATCTTTCTTCCAAATTCTACATGAATACCTCCATAAGGATCGCCGATGTGGGGTTGCCCATGCCTAGCCCGTTTGTTTGCATGTATACGTTGTTATTAAGTTTAAAGTAGTTTTGACGCAACGTCGTTCTGAGTGCGTTAGTTATCTCCACGGCGATTTCTCTGTTTGCTGTTTTTTCTGACAATATTTTGAATAGGATATCTATTGTTACCGTTAGGGGTATCGATGGGTATAGATTTTTTATGTCGAATGATACCAGTTTAGTATCCATCGTGATAACTGAGTCTTTTAATTTTTTAATCAATTCCGTTGTACTAGATATTGTGTACTTATTGGTCAATCCAAGGTTATCCTTTAGTATAGTTTTTAAATATTTTGATAGTTTGTAGCTTCGGGCCGATTTGTGGTTTATGATTGGACTCATAGGTGAGCTGATGGATTCATAGTTGTCAAAGTATGTATTTGGTTCGCCTTTATTATTTTTGTAGATTTCTTTATAGTCTCTTTTATTGCGGCTTGGTTATAATACCTAAGCGCGGCCGATGGCCGCCTACGCAGAATGAGGATCTGCGCAAAAATACTTCCGGTCCGCTTTTCCGGCAACACAGAAAGAAGAATTCTACTCAGTAAAGGACATAGTCCCTACGCGGAAAGAAGTTCTGCGCAAAAATACTTCCGGTCGCCTTTTCCGGCAACACAGACAGGAAAATTCTACTTAGTAAGGGTTATAATACCTAAGCGCGGCCAAAGGCCGCCTAGGCAGAAAGAAGTTCTGGGCAAAAATACTTCTGCCCCTCCTCCCAGCAACACAGAAAGGAAAATTATTTCGGTTTTAAATCGAAACTGTGCATGTATGCATTACTTCGGTTTTTGTATGCATTATTTCGTATGCACAGTTTCCATATGCACAATTTCAGGGTGACTTTAAAATCATATAAAACTGAAAATGATAATATATGAAATTGGTTAAAATGTTTGTTGTTTGAGAAATGAGAACGTGTGTTTGAGTTTGTGAGTAAATTTTAAAATTAAAATGCTTGAAAACGTTAAAAATGCTTTCAGTGGTTATACCTTCCCATATTTTTACACTTCAAAATTTGGGCTTGTCGAGATGCAATCACAGCCGCAGTGTTGCGCGAATTATTTAAGTATCACGTTCGGTGTGAATTTCTAGCTACGTTTTATCAGTTGGGAAGTTGCAACAGTATTGCAAAAAGTGGATCAGTGCTGCAGTATTGCCGCCGTGCCTCGAACGGGCCCTTTGTATTGAAGGTGTTTTTAATACATCCTACCGAAATCTGCTAAAAACGCAGTTCCGAAAAGTGTTGGTTAAGACCTTTGTGAATTAAACCCTGCCAGCATTTTCTGTTGCAGAAGTTTCTAATTCGACACGACATTTCTGCGAAAATCATCGCCGACGATGTCGCTATTTTATCAAATTCTTATCCGCTCTAAGGAAAAACTGTTGCACCAAGACGACACGTCTTTATTATACGAAAGCGATACAGCAATTAGAAACTATTCCGATAGGAACGATAGTAACTTTTGCGATAAAGTCTGAAGTGTTAAAAGTTCTTTAGTTGGTTTAATTTTTGATAAAACGCAATAGCATTATTGCGATACCTTTGAACTTGCAGCCACAGCCGCAGAGTTACTGACCCCATTTTCATCCTGCTTTCGGCTTAGATTACAAGCTCAAGCGCTCCCATATTTTATGAAATTCCAACTAAACATTTTAAAAAAAACAGTTCCAAAACTTCATAGTAAAAAGGCATCAACATAATAAATCAAATAACGCATCTGTTTAAAATTAAACGTAATTCCATGAAAGAAGGTAGTTTCACTTTGATCTTTTTTTTTTTTGTATCATGCGTAATTATATTATTTGTTATTCGAATATGATGGCTTGCATGATAAAAACATTATAATGTGTATAAAATACACATTGCTTGCACGTTAATTAAAAATAAAATAAAAAGTATAATTTTACTCGAATGAACTTCCAAGATTTGCTTTGGAAATTTTCAAAATCTCAAGGGGTAAAAATCGTCCGAGCACCTGTTAAGAAGATGGAAAAGCATCAGAAATAATTTTTGACTTTGTGAAATTAATTGCTATCGCTTTGATAACTTCCCACAGTATAACTTCCAATAGTGACGAAGGAGCGACATCGTGGCGATAGGCGATAAAATTATCTTTCATTTGCTTGCAGGGAAGTAACGATATGTACATATGTATTACCTATAAAGATGGGTTATAGGTTTTAAAAGGACGTTAATAAAAGATATTGGTAATAATATCAACATAAGTAATGTTGCACTATCACTGGTCAATAGTATAAGCAGTGCACTCCAACTCTGGTACGCAGGAAGTATATAAAATAAATTCAATATTAAAATTAGATAATTCATAACCACATAAACTATTTTTGTTTTTGTATATTTAATGTAAATGTAAACTTCAATAAATTCAATTTATTTTAATTTACAAGTTTGCTAAAATTCTATGCATATATTTTTGTATACGTACATATACATATAAACCATTGTTATAATCAATACTTTTGAAATATGTGGTATAATTGAAAACAGCGCTAATTATCGTATTCACTAAATCATTTTGCGAACAAAAAATTCATTTCAGAACGAAGATACATACATATGCGCACATACATTATTGGAATAATACGAATACGATTGTGTGCATGTATTAATACATAGTTTATATTTTTCCAAGCTCATATGTGAAGTTTAGGCCGTCTTACCCAGTGGGATGGGATTCTGTTTCAAATGTAGGTATATAGACCGCATGCGTGAGATATCCTTGCCTGATTTGTTCACTTTTGGGTTGAAATCGCATAATTTTGCAATGCGCTCCCACTCGGTTCCCGGTTCCATGGGTCCACCATTTTCAAGCGCCGCTGCCTGCTTTTCAGCGTTGCGTGAGGCCGCTTTGGTTTTAGCGATAGATTCTTCTGTTTGACGCAACCAATCTTCCAATTCCTGCTTCGCCTGCAGACGCAACTCTTCTTTCTTACGTTCTTCTTCCCTATCTTTTTCTTCGAGACGTTGTTTTTGTTCCTCTCGCCATTTTCTTATTTTTTCAGGTTCAACGCGAGAAGGTGGTGGTCCCGATATACCGACTGGTTCATTTGATTCACCACCAATCATTTCAAAGCTACCTGTAGATGAACCAAGTCCGCCGCCAACCGCATTAGGTGCTAGTTCATCGCTGCCAAGTAGTCCATTGCCACCATCTGTGCTGGCCGGTGCACTGGGAGCAGTATTTGATGGAGGTACGATTTCCGATTCGAGGTCACCGAGAACAGATTGTTCACGTGCCAGAAACTCGGCTGCGGGATCAACTTCCTCTTTGGGGGCAAAATCATCGCCGAAATCCATTGTGCAAAGAATATTGGCAGCAATCACTGCGAAATTAAGAGAACTTAAATTGGGGCGTATTGCTTTATTTACACGTCGACAGATTTAAGACTGCCTTGCTTTCAATTTCAACGCAAATGCGACACTCGTAGAATAATTGATAAGGGGATATTTACCTCAAAATTTCGTTCTTTTCAGATTTTTATATTTTTTTTCAAGTTGAGCCAGCACAATTCACACAAAAAATAAACTTGCAGTAATTTTTTCCCAATCAAACTGTAAAATTCGTTCTTCTTCTTTAACAAAGAACTGTCAATGAAAAATTTCTATTCCGAAAGTGTGCGAACGGGACAACACCTGCCGATAAAGCTGTAGAAATCGAACAAAGCGTGGCAATGGCGGACGATAAGGAAACGGGATGGCAAATGGGGAAAAATGGCACACTCCCAACAAATTCCATGTCCCTTGCTGAAGGATTGGTTTTAAAGGCAAAATAACGATCCTAACCCAAGTCACCAAAAAACTAAGATATGGCTTACCTTAAAATAACTCTTACGTTCACAAACTTTATCTAAAAAAAATTACACTCCCAAGGCGTCCAAGGCAATTGTTGGTCAAGAAATAAAAAAGCGCGGCAAAACAATAGGATTTTGACAGACTTATTGCAATTAACAGCTGATGTTGCATTAACAGGAAGACCCAGAATTTTTAGAACCTGCCTATTCATTTGATTATAACGAGTTTACATACACATTCTTTATTCAAATTGCAGCGTTTTTGCTGCATTTAAAATTCAATATTTAGCACTTTCGAACATGTGTTTTCGAAAAGCGTTCATGCTATCGCATTTACCAAATGTATTTACGCGAGTTCGAAATCGTATGCTTTTGACAAACAGTCGCGTTTCATTCGCTTATTCAGATCCGTATCTACAAAGAACGTGAATCTATTACTACGTTTATACGCACGTATTATTTGCAAATAACATTTTGCAAAATGGTAAGCATTTCCGTATAAACGCTGAGTTAATTTTATATTTGCAAATAACTAAATCATGCAAATAAGAATTTATTAGTGGTACTATTTGCAAATAAGCGCAAGACGCTGCCATTATTAGGTTTATTTTCTTTTTTTTTGTCACCCTATTGCCTTTTTATAATCAAGACGTTGCCATTTTTAACTTTATTTTCTTTTTCGATGGTCATATTATTGCCTTTTTATAATGAGGCAATATTAAAAAAGAATTTATGATCATCGAATAAACAGCGAGTTAGGTATTCGCAATTATTTTTATTTGAAAATAGCTTACATATAAACGTATGGCCTTATTTATAAAAAATAAAATAGATTTATAGAGTTCTATAAAGTGACATTTTCATACAAGTTTTCGATTTATAAAGCAGTTAAAGTGTTCTTTATTTTTTAAGATTTTGGGTGGTAGTATATAAGAAGCGATGTGTAGCGCGTGTTAACATCAGGAGCGCGTCTTCTCTTTTGCAAAAATACACTTTTTGATTGGATGAAAAGAGAAGGCACGCTCCTGATGTTCGACCTCGCTACACTTATAGCGTGTTGCATCTTCTTATAGATTCACGTTCTTTGGTATCCATCACGATCAATTCGCACATAGAAGATACTTTGCAAAAAACCCATGATGCACTAATTCAAGGTGTTATCGATTGACAGCTGCTCGCTTTAATTCCGTCATATTGACTGCCTTAGGTGAACAGTGTTACTTCTTTAACAATTCTTTGCCTTATAATATAGTTGAATGTTTATTTTTTCCCACTATACATATTTCGATTTCTTAAATAGGTATTCTATCTTATATTATTTCATTTCATTACGAATATACTACGAAAAAGCCAATTTTGTTTAGAAAAAAATATGAAATGATATATTTTTCCCCCAAATGTGGATCAATTTCTTCCCGTTTTTCTTCTTATTCTGCTTAGCTAAGACAGTGTCGGATCGAAATGTCACAATTGATATCACCTTGTGTTATTGCATCATGCAAAAAACCCTACTGAAAAGGGAAAAAAATATTCTAAACAAAAAATTCAATACAAAAACTTTAATTGTTTTAACCATAACCGAAAATTTGTTTGTGTATATATTCATTTGTCGGTGCTGTTAATTGAAATGTCCTCAATTAAATAGGAAAAACACAGAGTTTATCACAAAATGAGCCAGATTTCAATCAGTATCACATCGATCAGCGATTTTTTTTTACGAATTTCGCTGTTAAAATTTACATTTTAAATATATTAACAAAAATTTGTGGGTACTTTTGCACCTGTCATTGCCTATGGGTTACTGGCAAAGGAATTCTATACATGCTGGTTTACTGAATACTGTGGTTTTTGCCTTGCTATGTTTTTATCATGACATCAGGGTTTTCCTGTAGAGACAGGGCCTTACTGAGCACCGAGTTACCAAGGTCCACGCTCGGTGTGAAGAGTCCCAATTTTTGTTATTGAACATGGCGAAAATAAAAAAAAATGCAACCCTATGATATTGTTCGTTTTTCACATTTTGACGTTTTTCGTCATGGTTTGACTGGCAGAAAATACACACTTTCGGACTAGCTAGCCTCGGTCGAATTCGGAGTGGGAATGTTTTTCTCAAAATGGCGCTCGGACTGTGTAACAACGAGTAGACAGAATAGGTGACGCGAAAAATTGAAAATTAACAACAAGAACTTGGTATTTTTGTGAAAATTATAGTTGAAAAGTGTGCATAAGGATTTATATAATATCGGTCAATTGGAGTTTAAACTGCAAACATCAAATAGCAGTGAAAATTTTCAGTTTTTACCAAAACGCAACACAGCGAGTTGCAGGAGAACGCGACGAGTCACGCAAGGCGACAGCTTTGGGCAACGGCGCATAGAACGACCGGTCGAGCCGTTTTGCCGTGCAGCTACCACAGTCGTAATCCAGCTAGATACATAACGCAAGACAAAGTACACATTTGAGGTGCTCCATTGATTCGAATGCTGAGCGGGCGTTGGAGTAGTACGGGACAAGCAAATAAAATCCCCAAACTAGAAATTTTCGTACTGCGCGTACATTTCACCAATCGGAAGCATAGCAAGTGCGTGTGGTTGTTGTATTGTTGTGGGGAAGCGTTGAAATCCAATCGACATTGAAATATTAGATAAAGCATTATAATGCAGGTTTTACCAAGTACATATTTCAGGGGTTATACGATACATTAACACTATTATGTGCTTGCGATGTAAAAACTTGGTTTGAATTGTCTGATGAAGCAAATGTAGAGGTTTTTTTTTTGGCGGTATACATACATGGATCATGTTTCCGTATGCAAATTTTATATTGTTTAGTTATAAAAGCTACCCCACAACATAATTCTTTATTATTATGTGCTATTAAATTAATTTATCTGACGAATTTACTTTGTAGTCATCTATATATATACCGCATAAACGTTTCTTAAACAATATGGATCCCAATTCAAGTCCCTGGTCTTATGCTTATAATCGCATTGTGCCATCTGCCTCCAGTACTGGTTCTGCAGAAGATTTTCAACACCCGCACTTGGCGCCAGCACAGTCTTTGTTTCTACAAGCAGCACATTCAGGCATAGCTGCAAGCTTCAATGCCGCAGCTGCGGGCAGCGGCAGTTTTGTGTCACCATCGCCTATCAGCGGATATAATCCGGTATTTCAACAAATCTACCATCATGCAGCAGCTGCTAGCGCACAACCAAAACCGGCACATTACGCTTCAAGTGCGGTCAATACGCCCGTACGTCAGATACAAATCCCATCAACGCTGGATAAACAATTGACGAATTTCCAAAATCAAGCCGCAGTTGCTGTTGTATCATCTGCTGCAGCAGCTGCTGCAAATAATGCAGCGTCTAATTATTATGGTGAAAATTCTTCGTCAAGCGGTGCATCGCCATCGCCCACAACTTCTGCTCTTACATCAACAACGCTCAGTTGGAATACGCCGATGATATCCAATACTTTTTTAGCTATGCAACAACAGCAGCAGCAACAACAGCAGCAACAGCACCAGCAGCAGCAGGCACAGCAGCAACAATTGAATTTAGTTGCGGATAAGGTGGTGAGTAGTATGTTGGACAGTTTGGCCTTAAGTCCGTATAGAAGATTTAACAATTTAGGCGATATCAGCTTTTAAAATTTGCGTATATTTTTCGTTGTAATACATATTTGTACATATATACCGATGAAACAGGGCACGATAATCTTACAATAGTATTAGTAGAACTACTGACTGCACAATAGTTACTGAAATAATAAATATGAAAAATTGTGATTGCAATGTATAAAAAATAATTTAAATTATGTGAAATATAAGCTCCCGATTCGTAGTACATAGGTTTCTGGTATAGAAAAATAGTACATTCGCTGTTGAAAATATTGAAACGTAAACGTAAAAATACAAAATTAGCCGAACCTTCCATAGTTTTTAACAAATATATACAATTCTAGGCAAAGCAAAAAGTTTCATAAGCTTTCAAGTGTTTGAACATTTCCCTATTATATATCTCACCAGATAGGGTATCCGAACACTTCCTTTAATGTATCTTTTGTCATCCCGCTCAAGTATAAGTTTTAGCCATAAATATATAATTCACCAAAATGCAAAAAAAAATTCTTACATCATCTACAATACGATCAAAAACACATCTAAACAGCCAAATAAAATCAATTGAATTCTTGCAACGCGTGTGTTGCACATTTTCAGCAAATCAAACAGGAGAAACCCGCCGATCTTAAAACTTATAATGACATAATTATTTATCAGACACAACTACAACAGCAGCAACAACAGTTGCAACAACAACAACAGCAACAGCAAGAAGAAGCTACTGCTTCAATAGACAGTGATGGTGAAATGTACTATACTATCGATGGTAAAAATTATAAAATTGTGCGAAAAGGGCAGCAACAACAAGTTATACAAGTAGAGCATATACAACAGAACGATGTAAATGCTACATATGCTGCTGGCAGCACAACACCAGCCCTTACCGTTGCAGTTGATGGTGCAGTGTCGCCTCATGTAATCGTATATAAGACGGGTGTAGGTGCGGAATCACCTGTCTTGCGGCGCAACGTTGCAGGTGGCAGCTCACCCGCATCAACTGTGGCATATTCCTCTGTGATACAAAGTACACCGCCACAACAGCAACAGCTGCAACAACAGCAACACGTTTCCGCGTGTTGGACTAAAATCGAAGATACAAATGGATCTACGGATGGTGGTGGTAGCACAGAAGATGTGAAAAATGTTTTACAACTTCAAGTAAAGCAGGAGAATCGTCAATTGGGCTATGTTACGGATAACGAAGTGGGCGAAAGTTTAATATTTAACTTGCCACCTGGCCTAGAAATTAAGCAAACGTTATATAATCCGAATACGAGTTCTTCTATAGGTAATGCGAGTGTTTTGCAACATACACAACAACAAGCTCAACAACAGCAACAACAGCAGCTGCTTGTACAACAAAATTTATACAATAATAATCAAAAAATGCAGCAACAGCAGCAGCAGGTCGAAAAGCAGCGGCGCCAGCATATGGTGGCAAATATGCTGGTGTCGCCAACGGCTACTAATAATCAGCAACAGCAAACCACTGCCGCTCAACAACAGCAGCAACCACAAACTACGTCTTCCCAAGCGTCACAGATTCAAATCATACCCAAGGTTTGTATTTTATAATTTTCGATTTGTATATTTTCTTGAAACCTTTTGTTAAATTATTCCCCCATTCTTTGCATCTTCGATTTGCTTTAATTTGATTTGATTTATTTATTTTTTGCCAAATTTTTTATTTGAATATTTGACATTTCTTTATCGTTTGCTTTCAACATCTTAACACTTAAAGCTGCTAACACTACGCACTCATCATCGTGTTTCATTTTATTTAAGTATAGACTCTTGTTACTACAGGTCTTTTATGTCAGGGTTTCAAACTGAGATACGAAATTCCGTGCATCAAAGAAGTTTCATTCATAGTAAAGAGCTCAATGGTGAAATTAAAAAAAATGTGAAGTGGATGTCACGTGAATATGTTTATTAGCGTGAACCAAGTCTCTACTTTTCGACTTGCAAACCAAAATAGTTATCAAGTAAAAAGGAACTGCATTCCTTGTTTGAAAGCATTGCATAGAAAATATTTTGTTTTGCTTTTTGAGTTTTCATGCTGTTAATATTTTTTTCATTAACTGTAATAACAAACATTTTGTACATAATTAAAATGCAAGTGCTAACTTCCATTAATATTTTGTAGAGAAAAATTTTAATCTCGCATCAATTTCGTTTTTGAAAAATTAAATTCCTACTATATCCTAAAATAACTGCCACACTTAGTCACAATTATTTTATCCTTGTGTGAGTTCAGCGGCTTTGCTGTACCTCTGTGAAATTTTCATATTGCACGAACACAACATCTTTAGGAAAATATATGAATATAGCTTTATACTCGCTTAATTATTTTCCAAAAGTTATTAACATTTGTTTCTCTTTATACCATAACTTCTCCACACGTTTGGTGACGGCGGTTACACATGCATACACACAAACTAATTCTTTTTTTTTTCTAACTTATACATTAGGATTACAGGGCTCTTACACGATATGTATTTGATATGTAAAGGCTACTTTTTTGTATTTACTCTTATGTACCATATATTGGAACGTATCAAAAAAGTAACATTAACATAGGAAAAGCATATCGTGTAACAGGTCTCCTAGTAAACTACCATTTCTGTTATCATTCTGTGTTATATTTGTGTTTCAATTCCTTTTTTCCTTAATTAGTGCTGCCTCCTTTTAACATTCCTCTCATAAAACCGATTTTTATTTCTGTTTAACAAAAGGGAGTGAAACTAAACAAACCGAATTGTATGTATTTGAACCTGTGACGTTTATTTGCAAACTTTGAGGATGATGCGAGTAAGACTGCTGATATATGAAACATTTTTTGCGATATTGAAAGTCCCAAGTGCAAATATGTACACTAAACTGCAATTGATGGCTTCTTTTCCACTTGATCCTTATGCTACCTTTGCGCTGTTTTGTATGTAATTGTGACTAGGAGTTTGGCTTGGATTTTTTTTGTATTTCAATTGAGGATTGGTGCAGATGTCTAGTTTCTAGAAAAAGAGCGCTTTAAATACAGTAGTATAAAGAAAATTGATTGGCAATTATTATTTAGTTCAAAATGGGTGAACTTTTGTAATTTCTACTAATTCTTGCCTGCGGGCTTTTATGATGTAAGATATATTAGAGCAAAGAACTAATTTCAGAAATTTAAAGTCCTTGCTATTTTTTTATGATATTTATCACTTGAAATGTAATTCAAATAAATTTACTATTATCTTTAGATATCTTTCCCAATAAGAAAAATAAGTAGTACGTTAAAAAGAACACTGCTTTTTTCTCTCATTTCAACCATTTTCCATTCTTTTGAGTTTCCGTTTAGATTTTCTTTTTGTTTTGCCAACATTTGATTTATGTGATATTAGTTTTTAATTTTTTTAACTCAATTCTTAAGTTTTTTTTAACAAAAATTCCAGTATCCTCACGAACCATTTTCTGTTCTTTTTATCTTTTGCAGGTTGAAGTGGAACAACCAAAACAGTTGCCGGCGAAACCGGCCAAGACGCCGCGTAAACGCCAACCCAAAAAGACGCTCGTGACCAACGAATATGCGACGGTGCGCAGCCCTCAGCAAGAAGTCGTACAACACCAACAACAACAGCAAGCACAGCAGCATCATCAGCAGCAACAACAACAGCAGCAGCAGCAGCAGCAAACGCAACAACAACAACAGCAGCAACAACAAGCTACCTACTATGACTTCAATAGTAAATGGAATACACCACTGAAGATTGAGAATAATACGCCTTCACCGGTGGCCCAAACGCCAGCTATAAGCATACCGACTTATGTGAACCCACATGCGGCACAACAACAACAGCAGCAACAGCAACAGCAGGCACAACAACAGCAGCAGCAACAGCAAGTTCAGCAACAGCAGCAGCAGCAACAACAGGTCGCCGCACAACAGCAGCAACAAATACCACAACCGGCGCATATGCAGTCATCACAGGCGCAATCACAAGCGCATTTGACGAATTTGTCTTCATATTATTCGAGCACATTTCCACAACAAATCGCCTCTCAGTACTCGGCATGCATGCAACAGAATGCTGCAACCGCAGGCGCTATACAACACACGCTATATAATCTCAATCAACAGCAGCAACCCCAACAGCCGTTGCAACAGTCACCGCAGCAACAGCAGCCGCAGCCGCAGCCGCAGCCGCAGCAACAACAACAGCCGCAACCGCAGCAGCAACAACAGCAAGCGCAAGCACAAGCTCAACATCAGCAGCAGGCGACCCAACAACAACCACAACAATCTAGCGCAGAAACCACTTCGGCTGCTAATGATCCTAGCAATAAAGTGATTGTGCCCAATATTGAAGAGGAATTGGATTTTCTTACTGACGCAGTTGCACCAAAACAGGGCTATGCGAACTCTTCTTCAACCACGAACAAGAATGGACGCAGCGCCACCAATTTCGGCATACGACATCCGCAAACCGAAACGCAAAGTGCTATCAGCACGCCAGCGGCCAGTTCGGTCGCAAATAATGGCTTGGCTGCCACGGCAACGCCCAAAGGTGTTGTCACGCCAGTTAGCGAACGCAAGCCCGTTGTCGGCACTTCCATCGGTGAGAAAAAGACACAATTCATGGACAGCTATTTAAAGTTCCTGCAGGGCGAGCGTGATGATTCACCGCCACCGGCTGTGGTGAAGAGTGGTCGCAAGATGAACTATCAGCGTTCGCCGGGTGGCACTGCGGTGAAACGTATAAAAACAGGCGATGATCCAGCAATCGATGCTGCTGCCGGCCAAGGAAACGAGCAACAACCGAACCAGCAACAAGCGGAAGTGGGGGACGAACAAAACCCTGTCTTAACAGGGGATGATGCACATCGCATAAAAATACTCTCCCAAACGCAAATATTACCGAAGAAGCGTCCACAGGCACATATGGCAGCCGCCGCAGCTGCCGCTGCTGCAGCTGAAACTTCAACAGCAACAACGACAGGCACCGCATCGGTCATTCAGCATCCAGCTGAACAGCAACAGCAAATACAACATCAGCAGCAACAACAGCAATCATTCCGGCCGTACGGGCAACAACATCCGGTGCAGTCGCAGTCACAACAACAGCAGGCACAACATCAACAACACCAACAGCAACAGCAATACTGTGCACAATTGGGCTTTAGCGGTGGTGGCGGCGGCGGCAGCAGTCAAGGTATGTTGCCTGACCAACAAAATTCCTCCAGTACTACCACTACTAGTAATACGATAGCACCCACCGCTGCCGCTGCTGCTGCAGCAGCTGCTGCTGGCGTAACGGCCGGTCATCATCATCCTTTAATAAATTTTCTGTGGCCTTGGCACTGATGAGCGCGACTGTGCGTTGTTGTGTTGCATATTTGCTGACTGGTTGATTAGTTAGCTGGTGGCGCATGCGCAGTCGGAAGCTGAGAAGGTGAAGACAAAATATAAACAAGCGCGTGGATGTGGTGAGAATAATACACTCCCACCCATACACGCCCAATCTTTCTTTCTCTTTCGCGAGACCACAATTTGAGTGGAATAAGATGCAGCTGCTCAAACGCGAACGCTCCCATGCTCGTTCGCGCGCAAAAGACATCTGTGTACAACCAAAAACCGAACGACCGGTTGCAGTTTGAAGCGTTCTAATTTCTATTAGCAAACAAGAAATTCAAAAATAATTTAAATCAAAATTAAAGGCAGCAGAAATGATTTGTTACAATAAATATATAATAGAAAAGATAAAAAATACCAATTGATAAAATGGAATTAAGTATTTTTGACAAAAAGATGCAGCAAAGAAACTAAAGTTCTTACTAAAAAAAAACCTTTTGTGTTTTTATTTAACAAACAAGATGGACAGAACACTCCTATGCATGCAAAATGGGATGTTATCTTATACAACATCGCTTACTATAATCACTCTAGCCTAAAAACAGCAAACAATGATTGCATTCAGTTCAAGTCCTTTGATTTAATATGATTTATACAAATTTCCCGATGTCAGCCAAGTGCGCGCGAACGAGCGTTTCACCTTTTTCACTTTCTTCAGCGTCGTTCAATGTCACAGTCAAGCGCTAAGATATATTCAGTGTCCGTCGCCATCAAGGCCAAAGCCACGAAACATACAAATTCGCATTTAAAATACATCTTGCACTTTCTCAAGCACACACAATCATTTTTAATATTGGTAAAAAATTTCCCTAAAAAATATTAGTTGAAGTTTAAATATATCGGTTTCCCTTTAGCCACAAAAACCGTGCAGTGGAAAATAAAATAGAAATAACTTATATATGTTTTAAGGTTAGTAAATGCATTCATGTTGGTTCGTTATGTAGAAGGAATATATTTTGCATTAAGAGCAAGTTGGCTTATACTTTTGATAGCTCATGTCTTACAACGGACAAAGTAATAGGCTCGATAGAATTTCTGTAAGTATATTGCACACGCGCAATTGTGTGGTGAACACAAATTTGAATAGACATTTGACTTTGCACTAGTCCGCATAGCGTAATAACTGTGGTCATACGCTATAACCGGCTAAGTCGACTTAAGAAAGAATGGAGTTATATACGCTATCGTATTCTTCAATCCCTATTCCATGCATACGTGAAATCCCCAACTCGCCAGCTAGGCTACTTAGAAAGTTATAGACGAAAATATTTTGGTTTCCCCATAAGAATAACATTAAAATCCAAATATCGACTTAGGCGGTTATTGCTTATGACCACATATAAATAATAGCAATGTATATGAGTCGGGTCTACGTAACCGGAACGATCCAGATTTTTATCTGGCCACGGATTATCACTCCAGCAACATTCGCCAAAAACTCTTTGGGGAATTTGTATGCCGTTACAACAACAAGTCTTTACTTCAACACGGTTCGACTGTAACAAAATATAGTAAAATATTTTCGTAACAAAATCCAACCAGTTATATCATAGGAAAGTTCTTCTTGAATTGTTATTTTCCCCCAAGTACCCACTTTCATTGTACATATTCGCACAATTGGCAAGCAAATACTTATCACCAGGGAACGGATTTTATGGAAATCGCCTTTTTTCCTGCTAAAGCGATAAGAGTATATTCGATTAAGAATGTCCACTATTTAGCTTTCATATACACATTTGATGTTGCCTTTTTTTGTCTTTTTTAAATATTTGCCTTTTTTTGGGTATTGTACCTTTAAAAAGGTGGTTATAGCGAGGAAAAAGCCCTTATTTCTGATAATATAAAAGTTGCACACGATCACGTCGAGCGCATGTTTAGTACATTCAAGACTGTTAAAGCCTGTTCGGTTGCAAAACAAAAATCAAGTTGATAATGAAGGAAATCGATGGATAAATAAAAAAATAATAAGTGGTCATATGAAAATGCGCAAAGATTTTTTGTATGAAAAATTAGCAGGAAAGAATGTTACTCATACACCATGCATACCTGAAAATATCTCTAAATTTTTTTCATAGAATAAAAAATTATACGATTTTCGGAAACAGCAAGCAATTGTATGTCGGAATTGGATATGTAGTGGCGTCCGTTGAACATTTTTCCTGTAAACCAGTGTTATTTTTTAGTTTTTGTCTTTTAGTGCCTTTTTTTGCCTTTTTTGCTATTTCTAGTGCCTTTTACTGCCAATTTCCTTATTTTATTTGGCCTTTTTTTATAGGTTCTTAGGTCCTAAAAATTCGTTCCCTGCTTATCACTCTCTTTCAACAGGTTGCCTGTCTGGAAATTCCTCCCAACTAACCAACTTATTGAAAACCGAAATATGTACATATACAAACTAACGGAGTTTTAACTACCACAGAATTCCATACTTCATGTTCCTCGTGAACATACATTTTTATACATACACATAACCAACATATCATACACTCGTATCATGCACACTCACAAAATTCACCTAGTTCCTTGCCATTGCATTTCGGCCTTACTTGCCTCGTCTTTTAGATCCACTCACATTGCCGCCTCGGCGCGAGCAAGGGCTACGTAAAGCGAAACAGACAAGCATGCACGCCATGTTTATGAGTTCGGGCAGTGCCGGTGGCGCTGGTACCAGCGCCTTGGCTGATAATGAAGATCAAGAGCCCGATGAATTTGCAGATTCAGACACAGATCCGGTGTGGACACCACAAGAAGAGGATGTAAGTTGTGCTGTATGTGTATGGAAAGTGCTAGTTTTTTTTCTATACCAGAATCCATTTGGTTTTTAGAGCGATGATGGCAGCAGAAGTTACCGCCGTAAGACGTCGCGTCGTAATAAGAGCGCACCGCGAAAATCTAATTATAATGAACAGTCGGAGCCGCAACAAACTCCGCTAAATCAACAAGTACAACAACAACCGCAGCAACAGCAGCAACAACAACCACAACAACAACAACAACAGCCACAGCAGGTGCAGCAACAGCAAAATGTTGATGGCTATACACCGAACAAGGCCAATGCATCTTCGTATTCTAATGCTGCGCACGATGCTGATAATTTCAAGGTAGGATGGAAAAGAAAAATAATACATCTAATTGCAGAGAAATGTCTAACGGTTTAGCTCAGCTAATCAGTTTCCAAGGACAAAAACAAAAAAAAAATTATGTAATACCCCTGTGGATAATTTCAGGCCTTTCTGTGAATCCTTCCAGGCCTTCCACTATACATTCCTGTTTCTTTCCTTTATTTTTTTTTTATGTTGTGGCACAAATTGAAGGGCATCTGCTTTCGCTACACATTGAAGGCCTTCCAGAAGGGCTTTTGGAAGAATTCTTTTAAAGTGGCTTCTTCTTTAATTCATAGAAATCATACATCTTTTAAGTATTTGCATAAATATATTCTAAATATGTTTTATTGCCTTTTGGAAGGCCTTCCATGGGTAGCGAAAGAAGAAGCCCTTCAATTTATGCC